TTCTCTCACATCTCTCTAAGAGTTCTCATCCTTTGATATTTGATGATCAAGAAGTTACTAGGAGATCACTGTTGAGTTATCTCCACATCAAGCCGATAAATTTCAAGAATAGAGCAAGTTTCTATCATTATTTTTGTTAAATTTCAATATGTGATTTTGTCCATGAATCCTCCTTTGCATGTAGCCTTTATGTTTTCCCTTTTTTGTTAGATTGAGGTCCTAAGGACTCTTTCCGATCATTCTTCGATGTTTCTTAGGTTCATCTAAAAATTCCTTGCTTTCAAGCAATCAGTGGGATGTTTTTAGAGTCGGACAATTTCTTGTGAGGTAAGGAAAGCTAGATTGTGCTTTAAATGATGTTTATATTGTAAACTTTTAGTATCTCCATGAATGATAGATGATTTAAGTGAAATTGTCATGATTGTGTTAGAACTCTTTGTGGATGGTTGATAATTATCTTTAGTATGATGTTTGTATGTTTGGTATTTTTTGTGATTCTTGTATATGATGTTGTCTTGGTTATGTATAATGAAGTTGTAATGATAATTGGATGTTGGTTGAAAAGTAAAGAGTAGAGAGTAATTAAATATTGAGTTAAAAGTATAAAAAGGGGGTTTTGATAGGTGAGCTTTTGAGGAACTAGTTGGTTGAGGGAAACAATAGTTTGAGGCAGTTTTGAAGTCATTTAGGACTTATGGAAACTTTTCAAACCAGTAAAATATGGTGTAGTAGGCAGTGAATTGTTGGTAAGTGTGTTTTTACATGTTTTTGGTCTAAAATTAGATTTTGAGTAGTGAGATTTTAAGGAAAGGGTTGCGAACCGTTTTCAGGAGTTGGGAGTATATTATTAGACCTATTATGACTTGTCTAGATATTTAAATGAGTAAAATTTGGTTTATAAGTGTTGATTGTATGATAGTGTGAGTCTTTTGGCTCTTTTTAGTTCAATTATGAGGTTTTACATAGTGAGAACTTGAAACAGAAGGGTTGTTAAGGTGTTGCGATGTACTAACAAGTGTAATTGCACTTGGTTAGGTAGTTGGGAAACTGATATAAGTGTTAAAAAGTATAGAATTGAGTTTGAATAGCTTAAATGAGTGATTTTGGTTTTAAGGGGTCAATTTGAGTTACAGTATTGCTTTTTGTTGTATCTCAACATTTTAAAGGTGTTAGGGACCATACAAAGTTGTGGGGGAAAAGTGTGAGAAATGATCCAAAAAGTATAGAGTTTTGCTGATAGCGCCTAAGCACTCAAACAAAGCGCTGAGCGTCGGCTTTTTGACGCTGAGCAACATAAAACAGAAGCTAGGATAACATATTGGGTTGTTTTTTGACATTGAGCGACATATTGGCTTTTTGCTTCGATGCTTATGTTTTAAGTGTTTTATGATAACATATTGGGTTGTTTATGGTACTTTGATGCATGATCAGTGATGATATTTGTTGTTATTCAATTGGAAAGGGAATGAACATATGTATATGGTTTCAAATGATTTCAAGGTTTGGAAAGTTGGTTCCAAGGTAGAACTTCTTAATGTGGTTAAAGTGTGGTAGAATGAATGTATGTAACTCAGTCTTAGGGGTTTTCCTGGCATTCTAATGATCATACATTTTCAAATAAAAAGGTTTGACGCATGTGGTGAGAGTAGCAGGAGGTCTTAGTCTAGGTGCTTCCAGTATGACTTATGGCGCGGTACAGACTAACCTTGTGATGTGTGGTAGAGTGAAACCCAATTGTAAAGGGCTTTGCAAAATAGTAGTGGCCACCACAAATGCATAACTCGTCATAGCTCGACATTTATTCTAGGTCCAGAAAGTCCAGTCTAGATCATTGTATGTTAAGATGTTTTGATTTTAATTATATTACAATTGATTCTTGTATGAAATGTGTTAAATTTATATAAATTATTTTTAAATCTAGCTTACCCTCTTTTTTGTGTTTGTTGTTATGTTTACTTGGTCTGGTTTGACTATGATTATCTAGTGAGTGTGAGTAGAGGGTGATGAGATTTCAATATAGCATACCCTTAGTGGAGATGTTTCTAATGCTTAGTTATAGTAGTAGCTTCATCTGTTTTAGTTTTGTTTTATTTTGTGGTTGAGATCACCACTACTGTGTATAGTTTTGATACAACTATATTCTATATAAAGCTTTAAATTTATGGTTATTTTGAATGACTGTAAATTAGACTTTATAATCATTTCTCTAACTCATCTTTTGTATTAAATATGTAATGACTATTATATAGTTTTATGCTATATTTTAGGATGTTACAAAAATAAAAGATTTTTTCTTAAAAAAACAAACAAATAAAACATTATTAAAATAATCCAAAAGTAAAAAAAAAGAATGTTTTTGAAACTCATGATTTTAACTTTTATTCCAAGTTAAAAACTGCTTTTTAAAAATCCAGCTGATAGTTAAAAAAATATTTTTAAAAACTTTGGATTTACAATTGGGTCACAACCTAATCAACACAGAAACCACCAAATCAATTTTTGTAATTAGTTTTTGAGAAAATCCTTAGTATTATTCTTTTAAATATGGACAAATATTGTTAATCCAATTCAATTATAAAAGTAGTGACAATTTATGGTTTCATATATTTTAAAATTGGTGCTTTGGTTCACTTGATATTGGTACACTTTGGGTTATTTCATAGATAACCTCATAATTCTTTTAAATTCAGAATAAAAAAACAGGAGTTCTTAAATTAAAATTATTTCCCATAAAATAATATTTCCGTTGAGAGGAATTTTCAAATCTATTAAAAAAAATAAAAAGTATATGATAAATATGTATATGAGAAATTTCCGATGAAATAAAAGCATAATTGGGACAGTATTGTCCCATAACTGATGAGAAAGTGAGATATTTAGTCGTGAATCGATGATCGGTTATGAATATTTCAAAGCAAAGCATTGAAAAATGGTTAAAATTAAAGCAACCAATTCATAGTCAACATCAACATCTTAGTATGGACCAGTTCCGAGGCCAATCAATTAACATGTTTGCTTGATCAAACAAATTTGGCGGTGTCGATTTTTTTGTCCTAAGCACACAAAAATAGATTGTTTATTCCTTAAGCAACAATACTAACAAAAATAGTGTATGATTGATGATGTGCCTACTTTGATTATGGTTACTTGCCTAAACCTCACTAATTCTTTTTCACTTCAATTTAGTTTGTTGCAGTTAAGTTGACAATTGTGACGCATTTTGCAATTTTGATTGTGCAACAAGCAATAACAAAACCAATATGGATGTGGATCATATTAGATTTCCTTGTCTCCTCTCATCAACTCTATTTCTTGCACCGTTCTCACTATCAGCTCCACATCCTGTTGACAAAATTGGTAAATCTACCCCACCATGCACCACAATTACAATAATTAACAAAATTTGACTGAGATTTTTTACACTTGCTCATGAATTTTTTTAATGAAAAGCTTGACATATTGTATTATATATTATTCTTGAGACTAGATATTAATAAATAGTTTAACAATTAAGAGAATAATAATTTGCCTTTAAATTTAATTAAATTTTACAATACTGAAAATTTGAATTCAATTATATATTATAAACTGGTTTTATCTCTCACAATAAACATTTTTCATTGATCACCAAAACTTATGCAAATTCATGGTGTTTTTGGGGTTACAGAGCCATGAGTTAAACAATGAACAAGATATTTAAAACAGAAGATTATTGTGATCACCTAAAGTGGGGGTCAAACAAACCAGGACTAACTAAAATCTTTAATAAATATCACTGAGCAAATTGATGTAGGTACCTGATGTTACGATAAGTAATTTCTCACAATCTCATTCTTGCTATTTTCAACAATAAGTGGTGATTAGAAGAATGCTCGACTACCATAAAACACACGAGATCCATCCTTTTTCTTCTTATCAGTTTCTAATTTGCTGTTTTCATGATTCTGAATCACATCACCATCGCCATGATCAACTTTCTCAGGCTTGTCAAGGTCCATCGGGAGCTTCATTTTTGCCAACGACTCAGTGAACTGCTGCATGCTCCTCATATACATGTCCACTATCTGTTTTTGCATAGCAGCTTGCTCGGCCTCAAGATTGATGTTCCCTAAAGGAGCCGCAAAAACTTGACCAAACTTTGAAGCTTCTGTCGTGTTCTTATTGCTGATTTTGCTTTCCTTTTCTTTGCTTGAGAAGGTTGCATCTTTTTCATTTGGGGTCTCACCTTCTTTCTTAGAAGTTGGGGTATCCGGGCAAGCGCCACCAGAGTTTTGACTACCTTCCACGGTGATTGACACGGTGACAGAATTGGAGGAGTCACCAGTGCTCAAGGGGTTCTTTTTATCAACTGAATCTGCTGAGTTTCTATCATCACTCAAGGTTGTGATAGTGGAGCCTAGGAAGCATGAGTTCTGAATGCTCTCGTTTGGAGAAAGGGAACCTACATGATTCTCGTCTGGGGGACTCATAGTCATCTCGTAATCATCAAGTTGAGGAGATGCACCAAGGTGGAGAAATGGTAGAGGTCTTCCAATGTTGGACCTTGAAAGAGCAGAACAAGTACCATGAGCTGCAAGATTGAAGTACTCGGACACCATTTGCTGATTCTCCTTCACAACACTGATGTCAGGAAATTCAATTCTTGCATACTCAACTGGGTCCAACATAACTTCTGAGATCTTTCTATCAAGCAAAATGACTTCTGATGATATGGATGAAGTCTTTGCCGATTCAGGAATCAAGTTCACTGAGGAATCGAGTGCCAAAGAGGGGTCTAAAGCCAGTGTCAGTTGAACGGTTCCAGCAGGAGAGTGGAAAAGATCAGTGGAAGAAAGGCTGTAATCTTCGGTTACCTTTCCTTTGCCAATGACTTGTGAAATTGGGACCAAAGCAAATCCCAATAGCTGGTCTTCCATGTGAATCCTTGCCCTGCTAAACATCCAAATTTCACATTTGAGAACGGCGTCTATTTGGCTGATCTTCATCCTCATGTTTTCATTGAATGTTGGGTTTTTGCCACCTCCATTGATGATTCTGGTAGAGAGGGTCTCGTCGGGGTTGTAAGTTAGAGAGAACTTGGCATACACATCCTGGTTGTCATAGATGCATATGTTATGAATATTCCTGGCATGATGGACAAAGATATCAAGAATCCCTGAGAATTCAGCTTCTTCATCAGCATGTGTCCCCGTGTTCAAATTTGGACTGTACCTGAAGCTGCTGTTCTGACAATTCTGATTGAATGAATCCATTCCAACCCTTGTTATGCCGTGGAATTTTTCTTTGCAACAAGCCAAAAGGTTTCCAAAATCAGGAAACACCAGAGAAAAAGAGTAGGTGTAGATATTTGGATCATCAATGATCACCTTGAAGATACATAAAAGACTAAAACAAAGCAAAGCAAAACAAAAAAACTGGGTTATAGAGGAAGTTAGAAATCAGTGGAAGAAAGCAGGCAAAAAGATGAAGTTTGTAAAGGATTAAACAGCAGCAGAGCAGAAGAGGAGGTTTTTCTCACCTAGAAAGGTAGATAAGTAGTTTGGAGAAAGTATGTTGTAGTTGAAGAGATTTGTCAAATCAGTGCATGAATTAAGGAAGAAGCATGGATAAAGAGAGAGAGAGATGGAGAGAAACTTGGAGTAGAATGAAGTGGGTTGCTTTATGGAATGGAAGTGGGGTTTAAAGAAATTGTGGTAGTAGGTGAAAAATGAAGGATGAAGCATGGAAATGAACAGAGAAGAGTTTTATGATGTACATGTTTGTTTGGATGCCACTTTTCTTTTGGTGTTTGCTTTGCTTGACAATGCAGCTTCCATATATCTCTAGTGCACAACTTCCTCCACTCACACTAATGCTGTTGGAGGACCCACTTCCCACCATCTTCATTATCACTCACCCTGCTCTTCACTTCATGCTACCCTCACCATTCAGACAACATAGATTACCCTGTCTCTCATTATCATATATTATCAAATAACACAACATAAATCTTGTCTATGTTTTCTTCTTTCGTTTTGGACTACTCCTAAAGTTTTAAGTGCCTTTTTTTTCTCTGTGGATTCTGATATCTTTGACTTCAAGTCAAGAACTAAGTCTCTGATGATCATATACCTAAAACAGAAGTAGTTGGAAGATAAAATAAGAAACAAAACACCTTAAACTCAGATTCTTGCTACTTGTAATTCTCCTTAAAAAGTTTTTCATGTGCACCAAACTTTGGGAGTTGTTGGAGAATTCATTTCAGTTTGTTAATTTGAATGATGATTAAGCAAAAAGTTAATGTTGGTAGTCCTGAAGATGTGGCATATGTGCAATGGAGGTAACATCAGAAATCATAACCTTTGACTGTTTCTTTTCTTTACTCATGCACATACATATATACACTAAACATGCTAAAAAGTATAGCCAGTAGAAGAGAAAAGAGAGAAGCAGCAGAATTAATGGGAAAAAGAAAACTTCACATCACTGTCAAATTTGCTCATACCCCATGCATGCATAGCAAGATGAGACGTGATGACATAGACTTCCCCATAATTTATTAATTAATTGGGTTATTTCATTTCCCAGTGGAACACAACTGTTATCATTTTATTCCTTTGTAACTACGTTGTCCCTTGTAAGCCACAACCTAACAACAATATCAATGTGAGATTTTCTGTGAACACATTATTTTATATACCAAGTATCATCACACGTTCATTTTACACAAATTATAAAAATAAAATGATTATAAAATATAAATTTTGTATTTTTATTTTAAAAAAAATCAAAAAATAAAAAAATAAGTATAAATGAATATAAAAAATTTAAATATAATCATTTTTCTATACATAATATATAATCATTTATCTATTAGAAAAATAAATCATCCAGATTATTAAACAATATAATAGATTTTTCTCATAATGTCTGGTCAAAACTGCAATCAATTTCTTTTGCCAAAATATTGCAATAATTTATTAGGTTAATTGGTGGCATGTGTGGCTAGCATTTCCATAAATTGTGAGCTAGAACCTACAAGAAAATTTTCCTCACTTGAAAGTCATAAAAAGTGAAATATCTTTTGACTTTATTACTAATGTTAGATGAAATTAAATTAAAGGTGCCTAGGATGAATGTGAAGATTAGGTAAAGAATATTTGAAAAATGTAGTATGCTATTATGGGTATAATTTTGCAGAGTTTCAATAAGAAGTTTTGTTGAGAATGGTAAAGTTAAAATAAGTGAGAATGGGAAGGCAGGGATAACTTAGAAAAGCTTCTTTGTAACGAAAAATGTACCCAAAAAATGTCATTTTGCTTATTGTTAGGACCATTGGTACACTGAGTCGTCAATTCTACTTAGTTGTATTGAAAGCATTCGTTTTAAATAATGGGATATATCATTTTTATGTATTCATCAATCACTTCAAATAATTTTAACAAAAAATATCAATCTTTTACATTCATTTTGTGCAAATTTTATTAAGTAGAGAATAAATATAACTTATTTTCTATGTAAAATACTTAATTATTAAATAGTTTTTTTAACATTTCTTCTTTTCATAATTTAATCTTTTGAAAATTAATTCACAATAAAATAAAATAAGGATATAATTAGGGGAAAAATATATTAAATTTTAAAAATAAGAGATTAAAATGAACCAAATTTCATTAACGAAATATTATGTAATAAAAAAGAAATACATTTAATAAAGGGTTAAATATGTTTTATTCCCTATGTACAACTAAAAATTATCCATATCCAAAACTTTAATATATTTTAATCTATTAATTTAAAAAAATAAATGAATATAATTATTTCAACTCTATTACTTTAAAATTTATTGACATATCAAATACATTTTATAATTAATGTGAAAACAAAAACATATTTTACACATCAAAAGAATTTAATATTATTAATTAAAAAAATTATATCTATTCATTTCTTCATACAAACCAAAACATAACTGACTAAAAATATATTTAATTTTTCAATAAATTTTACATTAAATAATTTTACATGTTGTATTTAATAAATAAAGCATTTTATGTCATCGACCAATCAAATTTAACAATAATAATATATTAAACATGCCATTTATTATATTCAATTAATGTATACAATATTTTAATATATAAAATAACTCACATTAAAGTATATAATAAATACAGTATTTAAAGTTGCCTGTTAAATTTACTAAAAAACATGTTTCTAATAAAATGTAATATAACTCTCGTACCAAATAATTATAATACATTTTTAGCACATGAAAAAGATTAGTGTACCTTTTAATGTCTATTATTAAAAATAATGTTATATATATATATATATATATANAGATATTTAAAACAGAAGATTATTGTGATCACCTAAAGTGGGGGTCAAACAAACCAGGACTAACTAAAATCTTTAATAAATATCACTGAGCAAATTGATGTAGGTACCTGATGTTACGATAAGTAATTTCTCACAATCTCATTCTTGCTATTTTCAACAATAAGTGGTGATTAGAAGAATGCTCGACTACCATAAAACACACGAGATCCATCCTTTTTCTTCTTATCAGTTTCTAATTTGCTGTTTTCATGATTCTGAATCACATCACCATCGCCATGATCAACTTTCTCAGGCTTGTCAAGGTCCATCGGGAGCTTCATTTTTGCCAACGACTCAGTGAACTGCTGCATGCTCCTCATATACATGTCCACTATCTGTTTTTGCATAGCAGCTTGCTCGGCCTCAAGATTGATGTTCCCTAAAGGAGCCGCAAAAACTTGACCAAACTTTGAAGCTTCTGTCGTGTTCTTATTGCTGATTTTGCTTTCCTTTTCTTTGCTTGAGAAGGTTGCATCTTTTTCATTTGGGGTCTCACCTTCTTTCTTAGAAGTTGGGGTATCCGGGCAAGCGCCACCAGAGTTTTGACTACCTTCCACGGTGATTGACACGGTGACAGAATTGGAGGAGTCACCAGTGCTCAAGGGGTTCTTTTTCTCAACTGAATCTGCTGAGTTTCTATCATCACTCAAGGTTGTGATAGTGGAGCCTAGGAAGCATGAGTTCTGAATGCTCTCGTTTGGAGAAAGGGACCCTACATGATTCTCGTCTGGGGGACTCATAGTCATCTCGTAATCATCAAGTTGAGGAGATGCACCAAGGTGGAGAAATGGTAGAGGTCTTCCAATGTTGGACCTTGAAAGAGCAGAACAAGTACCATGAGCTGCAAGATTGAAGTACTCGGACACCATTTGCTGATTCTCCTTCACAACACTGATGTCAGGAAATTCAATTCTTGCATACTCAACTGGGTCCAACATAACTTCTGAGATCTTTCTATCAAGCAAAATGACTTCTGATGATATGGATGAAGTCTTTGCCGATTCAGGAATCAAGTTCACTGAGGAATCGAGTGCCAAAGAGGGGTCTAAAGCCAGTGTCAGTTGAACGGTTCCAGCAGGAGAGTGGAAAAGATCAGTGGAAGAAAGGCTGTAATCTTCGGTTACCTTTCCTTTGCCAATGACTTGTGAAATTGGGACCAAAGCAAATCCCAATAGCTGGTCTTCCATGTGAATCCTTGCCCTGCTAAACATCCAAATTTCACATTTGAGAACGGCGTCTATTTGGCTGATCTTCATCCTCATGTTTTCATTGAATGTTGGGTTTTTGCCACCTCCATTGATGATTCTGGTAGAGAGGGTCTCGTCGGGGTTGTAAGTTAGAGAGAACTTGGCATACACATCCTGGTTGTCATAGATGCATATGTTATGAATATTCCTGGCATGATGGACAAAGATATCAAGAATCCCTGAGAATTCAGCTTCTTCATCAGCATGTGTCCCCGTGTTCAAATTTGGACTGTACCTGAAGCTGCTGTTCTGACAATTCTGATTGAATGAATCCATTCCAACCCTTGTTATGCCGTGGAATTTTTCTTTGCAACAAGCCAAAAGGTTTCCAAAATCAGGAAACACCAGAGAAAAAGAGTAGGTGTAGATATTTGGATCATCAATGATCACCTTGAAGATACATAAAAGACTAAAACAAAGCAAAGCAAAACAAAAAAACTGGGTTATAGAGGAAGTTAGAAATCAGTGGAAGAAAGCAGGCAAAAAGATGAAGTTTGTAAAGGATTAAACAGCAGCAGAGCAGAAGAGGAGGTTTTTCTCACCTAGAAAGGTAGATAAGTAGTATGGAGAAAGTATGTTGTAGTTGAAGAGATTTGTCAAATCAGTGCATGAATTAAGGAAGAAGCATGGATAAAGAGAGAGAGAGATGGAGAGAAACTTGGAGTTGAATGAAGTGGGTTGCTTTATGGAATGGAAGTGGGGTTTAAAGAAATTGTGGTAGTAGGTGAAAAATGAAGGATGAAGCATGGAAATGAACAGAGAAGAGTTTTATGATGTACATGTTTGTTTGGATGCCACTTTTCTTTTGGTGTTTGCTTTGCTTGACAATGCAGCTTCCATATATCTCTAGTGCACAACTTCCTCCACTCACACTAATGCTGTTGGAGGACCCACTTCCCACCATCTTCATTATCACTCACCCTGCTCTTCACTTCATGCTACCCTCACCATTCAGACAACATAGATTACCCTGTCTCTCATTATCATATATTATCAAATAACACAACATAAATCTTGTCTATGTTTTCTTCTTTCGTTTTGGACTACTCCCTAAAGTTTTAAGTGCCTTTTTTTTCTCTGTGGATTCTGATATCTTTGACTTCAAGTCAAGAACTAAGTCTCTGATGATCATATACCTAAAACAGAAGTAGTTGGAAGATAAAATAAGAAACAAAACACCTTAAACTCAGATTCTTGCTACTTGTAATTCTCCTTAAAAAGTTTTTCATGTGCACCAAACTTTGGGAGTTGTTGGAGAATTCATTTCAGTTTGTTAATTTGAATGATGATTAAGCAAAAAGTTAATGTTGGAAGTCCTGAAGATGTGGCATATGTGCAATGGAGGTAACATCAGAAATCATAACCTTTGACTGTTTCTTTTCTTTACTCATGCACATACATATATACACTAAACATGCTAAAAAGTATAGCCAGTAGAAGAGAAAAGAGAGAAGCAGCAGAATTAATGGGAAAAAGAAAACTTCACATCACTGTCAAATTTGCTCATACCCCATGCATGCATAGCAAGATGAGACGTGATGACATAGACTTCCCCATAATTTATTAATTAATTGGGTTATTTCATTTCCCAGTGGAACACAACTGTTATCATTTTATTCCTTTGTAACTACGTTGTCCCTTGTAAGCCACAACCTAACAACAATATCAATGTGAGATTTTCTGTGAACACATTATTTTATATACCAAGTATCATCACACGTTCATTTTACACAAATTATAAAAATAAAATGATTAT